AAATGCCTGAACTGCAACAAATACAAGAACCTGACAAAGGGAATTGAAATTCACAAAACACCATGCTACAATAAATCAATTTGTCTTACTGATGCTGTGCAATTCATTAGTGTTTTGCTCAGGAGAGCAAAGCAACTCAACAGTTCTTTCAAAAATCCCTGAAGGAACTGTAGGAGATAGATACCGATTTAGACAGATAGAGATATAGATGAGAAATGCCAGGATATCTCTGTCCGAATAACCAGATCGGTGTTTCTCAATCTCCCTAATGCCGCGACCCCTTAATACAGTTCCTCATATTGTGGTGACCCCCAACCATAACATTATTTTCGTTGCTACTTCGGAACTGTAATGTTGCTACTGTTACGAATCGTAATTTAAATATCTGATATGTAGGATGCATTTTCATTCATTGGTCCTATTAGGCACAAATACCCGATACACCCAAATCTGAATACAGGTGGAGTTGGGGGAGATTGATTTTGTCATTTGGGAGTTGTACTTGCTGGGATTTATAGTTCGCCTACAATCAAAGAACATTCCAAACTCCACCAGCGATGGAATTGAACCAAACTTGGCACACAAATTTTCCATGATCAACAGAAAATACTGGAAAATACTAGTGGGCATTGACCTTGAGTCTGGGAGTTGTAGTTCACCTACATCCAGAAAGCACTGTGGATTCAAACAACGATGGAGCTGGACCAAACTTGGCACAAATCCTCAATATGCCCAAATGTTAACACTGGTGGAGTTTGGGGAAAATAGACCTTGGCATTTGGCAGTTGTAGTTGCTGGGATGTATAGTTCACCTGTAATCAAAGAGCATTTTGAACCCCACCAACAAGAGACGTGGGCCAAACTTTACACACAGCACCCTTACGACCAACAGAAAATACTGTATTTTCTGATGGTCTTTGGTGACCCCTCTGACACTCCCCTCGTGCACCCCCCCCCCAGGTGTCCCGACCCCAAGGTTGAGAAATACTGCTCTAGAAATTTTCTAGTCCTTCAGGGTAACTTTATGGCAGCCTCTAGCAGAAGGATACCATAGCGTCACCTAGAAAATTTAGAAAATTCATAAAGAGGACATATTTTGCCAGATGTAGTGAAATCATATCTGTCCCATGGGTGCAGATATTGTATTATAAGCCAAAGCTTTAACCTACGGGACACAACCTCATATGGAGTCCCATAACTGAATGTATATACATTGTATATTTTGAAATTGTATTGAAATGCTTTTAATTTAAGCTGCTCTAAGTCTCCTTATGGAGAGAAAAAATGGGATATAAATAAACATAAACAATAACAACAATAATAATGTGGGATCATGAAACATTTCTATAGTTTGCCCCCTAGTGGCTGTTTAAGACATTTACATTAATCTGCAGACATGCAGCAAATACTTCACTTGTACTTCCTAAAAAAGGAAAATGAGCTTGCTCTGTTTTAACCAGCCTTATACATGCTGATTTTGTGCAATGACTATCTTTTCAGTTTCTTGATGATTTATTATTCGTAAATATTTGATTTGTATACCTATTTTATATACTTATATACCTGGGATCACCTAAACCAGTGTTTCTCAACCTGGGGGTCGGGACTCTGGGGGGGGGGGTCACAAGGGGGGTGTCAGAGGGGTAGCCAAAGACCATCAGAAAACACATGACCAACAGAATTCACTGTGTATTCTGATAGTCATGGGGGTTCTGTGTGGGAAGTTTGGCCTAATTGTACCATTGGTGGGCTTCAGAATGCTCTTTGATTGCAGGTGAACTATAAATTCCAGCAACTACAACTCCCAAATGTCAAGGTCTGTTTTCCCCAAACTCCACCAGTGTTCACATGTGGGCATATTGATTATTTGTGCCAAGTTTGATCCAGATCCATCATTGTTTGAGTTCACAGTGCTCTTTGGATGCAGGTGAACTACAACTCCAAAACCCAAGGTCAATGCCCACCAAACCCTTCCAATATTTTCTGTTGGTCATGAGAGTTGTGTGTGCCAAGTCTGGTTCAATTGCATCATTGGTGGAGTTCAGAATGCTCTTTGATTATAGCTGAACTATAAATCCCAGCAACTACAACTCCCAAATGACAAAATCATAATTTTTTGAGTGATGGTCACTCCTTGTGTAGTGAGACATTTTGTTGCCAAATTTGGTGTGATTTCGTTCATTGGTTCTTTTGTTTTTAAGGTACTCATTATGCACAGAGCATATATGTATATATATACATACATACATACATACACACACACACACACACCTGTGGTCATGTCAACATTGCTACGTCAAAAAGGTTGTGAATGGAAAAAATGTACAAGAAATAGGATCCAAACTCTAGTATATTGAAGTATAGAGTATTCTCAATGTATTCCCGGTGCATTCTCGTTGAGGACTACAATATTTACCAGCATTCTTGACATCCCTCATTCAGACTTCTGAATAGTGGATTTTGTGGGCATTCTCACACGTATTCCCTAATTTCCAGAACTGGAATCGTGCTCCTGCCTTTCTTTTCAGTCTCGGTGCAAAGATTTCCTTGTTCTCGTGAGGCTGATGAGCTGATGTGATAAAATGTGTCATGTGCACCACAGTCTAGCAACTATCTGCAGATCATTGACAAGTGGCATTTGCCGAGAGACAGAGAAAGCAGAGATAAATGACAGTGGTGTCTCAAGCAGAGAGAAGGAGTGTCATACTATTTTCGTTAAAGTTTCCCAAGCTGCTCATCAAGCTTATGCATGCTGGATTCAAGGAATGTTTCGTAATGCTCTGAGCCCATCCCAGACCCCAAGACATTCCACTATTCCACCCGCTTTAAAAATATCCCAGTTTCTCTCTCCTCTTCCCATGTTTCCTCTTTGTTCTCAGTTGTTGAGGGATGCTGGTACATAAAGTGATTTATAGTTTCCAAATCATGACCTCCCTCAACCACTGCAAGCTGGATAGCAGGTGTCCCAGAAGCAAACAAAATACAGCAGAGTCCTTACACGGCAAAAACATGCCTCAACCCGTCTGTCAGCAGAGCTCAACTTCCAGCATCTGACCTTATCTGCACTTACTTTACTTAGCCGATCCCTCGTTGAATGAGTAAGATGGTCTTCCATGATGGGTTTCCCTGTGGATTCGTAGGTGGCTGTGGAGCCCTATTCTTGACCCGCATCTTCTCCCACAGTGAAGGCATTGGTTTCCAGGTGGAAGGCGGTCCCGGTCGGGGTTGGCTTGACGCGCCTTCCTCTTGGCATGTTTCTCTCTTTCACCCTCCACTCGCGCCTCCTCAAATTCTGCAGCACTGCTGGTCACAGCTGACCTCCAGCTGGAGCACTCAAGGGCCAGGGCTTCCCAGTTCTCAGTGTCTATGCCAGAGATTTTAAGGTTGGCTTTGAGGCCATCTTTAAATCTCTTTTCCTGTCCACCAATGTTCTGTTTTCTGTTCTTAGGTTCAGAGTAGAGCAACTGCTTTGGGAGACAGTGGTCAGGCATCCAAACAACGTGGCCCAGCGGAGTTGATGGCGGAGGACCATCGCTTCAATGCTGGTGGTCTTTGCTTCTTCCAGCACGCTGACGTTTGTCCGCTTGTCTTCCCAAGAGATTTGCAGGATTTTCCAGAGGCAGCGCTGATGGAATTGTTCCAGGAGTTGCATGTGACGTCTGTAGACAGTCCACGTTTCGCAGGCATAGAGCAGGGTTGGGAGGACAATAGCTTTATAGACAAGCACCTTGGTCTCCCTACGGATGTCCCGGTCCTCAAACACTCTCTGCTTCATTCGGGAAAATGCTGCACTCGCAGAGCTCGGGCGGTTTTGTATCTGCACACTGTTTAGTACACTCACAAATTCAGTTTTCATCCAAAATATCCAGAGTTTTTAATCTTCATGAGTCCCCCTGGGGAGATAGGGCAGGTTATAAATAAAATATTATTATTATTATTATTATTATTATTATTATTATTATTATTATTATTATTATTAGCTGCCCTGCCACGTGTTGCTGTGGCCCAGTCTGTGTATATGTGTATTGTGTGTGTATATGTGTGTATATTTGTGTATATGTGTGTATATGTGGTTTTGTGCATGCGTTGTAATGCATTTTTAAATTTTTGGCTTTTTAAGTCTCTTCTGCTGTGTTTTTCAGTGTTTTTATGAGTGATGGTCACTTGATGGCCTGAGAGGTGGCACATTTTGGTGTTATGGAAAATTAAGTAACGAGAAAGTCTGCTTAATAATAATAACAACAGCAATAATAATAGTATTAGTAATAATATAATCCTAGGGTAGGAAGAGACCTCCAAGGGCCATCCAATCCTGCCCCAGAATCGAAGCACTCCTGACAGATGGACATTCACTCTCTGCTTAATAATAATAATAATAATAATAATAATAATAATAATAATGTAATAATAATAACAACAATAACAATAGTAATCGAATTCTGGGATAGGAAGGGACCTCCAAGGGCCATCCAGTACAGCCCTTTCTGCTATAAAGGAGAAACACAACTCCCAAACTCAAGGTCAATGCCCACCAAACCCTTCTAGTGTTTTCTGTTGGTCAGGGGAGTCCTGTGTGGCAAGTTTGGTTCAACTCCATCATTGGTGGAGTTGAAAATGCTCTTTGATTATAGGTGAACTATAAATCTCAGCAACTACAACTCCAAAATGACAAAATCATAATTTTTTGAGTGATGGTCACTCCTTGTGTTGTGAGATGTGTTGTTGCCGAATTTGGTGTGATTTTGTTCATTGGTTCTTTACTCATTACGCACAGAGCATTTTTTTATATATAGATAACATTGTGCATGAAATGTTGTGTATGGTATACCAGAAAGCAAATGTATTGCTATCTCAGCCTCCATTCAGAATAATTTGGATTTTTGAGTATTCCAGATAAAGGATGCTCAACGTATACATTTCTGTGACTGTGCTGCTTATCCACCCAAGTAGAAACCATAGCCTGACATCTGTTCTTTCCTCTTTTTTTGTCTTTGCAGGTGACATTTTTCTTGCCTCCTTCTGGCAACCTGGCATGGCTCCTTGCAGTGAGCAATGATACACTTGGAAGCCTTCGTACACCCAAAGCCCAAAGGAACGACCGCCTCAACTTGCCTTCTTCCCATAACAACATGAGATGGTGCTGCTAAGGTGATATTGACTTGCTTGCAGGCTGGAAGACACCACCTTGCCAGAAGAGTTTGCATTCCCTCCTTTTTTCCCCCTTGCAAACAAATTGCTCAGATGGATGAGGGACGGTGGTGACACCATGTAGAAGGTGCTGACGGGGTGTCCTAACTGAGTTGCAATGGTTTTATACACTTCCCCATTTCCCAACGGCTTTCTATCCGCACTGCACTCTTTCTCCTGGGGCTTAATCTTCCCATGTTACTGGATCGGAGACCGGCTTGTGGGCTCTTTTGTGCCGACCACGTATGAGAAGCGCCAACGGGGAGATGACCCATGCTACTTCCATGCTCTGTGCATCATCATCACCACTCCCATCTACCTAGCCCTCTTGGCGGTTTCGCTTCCTTTCGCCCTCATCGGCTTCCTGTTATGGTCCCCTCTCCAGTCAGTGAGACGACCTTATGTCTACTCCAGGGTGCAGGACAAAAGCCACATCCACGGCGGTACGTTGCTCACGGAGTGGAAGGCCTCCAGCAATGGGAAGAGCTTTTGCTTCGGCTCCGCGAATGTCTGCTTGCTCCCGGACTCCTTGGCCCGGCTCAACAATGTGTTCAACACACAGGCGCGAGCGAAGGAAGTCGGCCGGCGGATCCGAAATGGTGCCAGCAGGCCTCAGATCAAAATCTACATAGATTCCCCCACCAACACGTCCATCAGCGCCGCGAGCTTCAGCAGCTTGGTGTCGCCTCAGGGTGGAGAAAGCAATAACCGGGCCGTCAATGCGGGCCTCAAGAGGACAACGTCTATGGAGTACAAGGGGGATAACTCTGGTTCAAACAACAGCGAAGACAACAAAGATGGCAAAGCTGGAGGAGAGGCCAACGAGGGAGAAGATGGCAACACTTGCATTGTCCGAATTGGTGGAGAGGATAACGGCCACATTTCAGACCCAGAGGCGGACGGGTTGGGTGGCCAGGTGAATAATAACAGGGGGCCAATGGACCGTTCCCCAGAAGCTGAGGCTGAAAGCTTGAAAGGTCAGACACCCAACCATAAGCAGAAGGAAGGGGACTCTGGAAGTTTGGATAGCTACACCGCTTCTCGAGAGTCCCTGGTGAAGGCGCGCACTGGAGATGGCCCGGTGGACCAAAGCACCATCAACAGCAAACTCCTCTACAAGGCCTCGCTCATGAAGAAGACCTCGGTGAGGAAAAAGAGGAACACCGACGAGCCCTTTGACCACGAGATCTCTGCTTTCTTCCCTGCCAACTTGGACTTCCTGTGCCTCCAGGAAGTGTTTGACAAAAGGGCGGCGGAGAAGTTGAAAGACCAGCTCCACCATTACTTTGAATACATTCTGTACGATGTTGGAGTCTACAGCTGCCATGGCCACTGTACATTTAAGTTTGTGAACAGTGGCCTGCTTTTTGCCAGCCGTTATCCAGTCATGGATGCTGCCTATCACTGTTATCCCAATGGGAAAGGAACGGACTCCCTGTCTTCGAAGGGGGCCCTGTTTCTCAAGGTAGGACACTTTCTTTATGGAATCTCTTCATAATGCCTTCAGATATGTATCTGGTCAGCAGGTCTGTGTGTACCTCATAGTAGGCTTGGTTGATCCAGCTCGTTAATTTCTAATCTCGTTAAGAAATCGTAAATAAAATACCTTTAGAAGCGATATCGACGCGTTTTGGCAACCCGGAAGTGTTTTTGCCATATCGAAGCCGCGTCCGCCATCTTCCTTACGACTTCCGGCAGTGAATCGTAAATGCTGGGGGTGTGGCCTTCAGGAACAGCTGTTCTTACCCACACCCACCTCCTTCCTTTTTGCATCGGCGGTTTTGCGGGGTGGGCGTGACTACCTCCCTGGCAACAAGCGGTGATGCAGAAGAGCAGGGAGGTAGTCACGCCCACCTCGCAAAGCCGCCGATGCAAAGAGGAAGGAGATGGGCGTGGGTAAGAACAGCTGTTCCTGAAGGCCACGCCCCGCGACCTCCAAGGAGAGCTGTGCTTGGCCACGCCCACCTCTCCCTTCTGCATGGAAGCTTGCCAGGGAAGGGAAGGAAAGATGAGAGATTTTAAAAGTGTTAGTTTTAAAATCTCTCATCTTCCCTTCCCTGGCAAGCTGTCATGCAGAAGGGAGAGGTGGGCGTGGCCAAGCACAGTGCTCCTTGGAGGTCGCTGGGGGCGAGGCCTCCAAGGAGGGCTGTGCTTGGCCACGCCCACCTCTCCCTTCTGCATGGAAGCTATCCAAGGTGCTGAAGCCTATCTGTAAGGGAAGAAAGGCAAACTGCGAGATTTTAATGGTTCTGGAGGGAGGGGCACCTTCCATTAACGAAACAAAGGAAGCGATTTGTATTTCCTGGTATTTCCGATTTTTTTTTAAAGAAAATTTCGGAAATAATTTCAAAATCGAACCGCCAGCACCCCCTATATACAAAACGAGTTTAGAACAATTTTTTTCATGATCAACCAAGCCTACCTTATAAGTCTAGATCTCTATATAAATGACAAAGATTGGGAACCTTCAGCCCTCTAAACACTTTGGAATAGGACTTCCCCCAGTCCCTTATTGATGGCCATGTTGGCCAGAGACACCTTGTGGCTTCCATGTTAATACAGCAGTAAATCTGGACTTCACTGTGAAGTGAAGCTATCCAATAGGCTTGGGTAACTACGGAAAAATTTGGTTCTAAACTCGTTTCGTTTTTAGGGGGGCCCTTGTGTTTCGTTTTTTTAAAGAATTCCGAAATTTTCCTTTAAAAAAGTTCGAAATATACGAAATTTCATAAAATTACGAATCGATTCGTTAGTGGCCGACGCGATTGCGCAATATGCTAAAAAACCCTCCAAATGGGACAGGGGGAACTTCTGAAGCTTCCCTCTCCCTCTGTTGTTGACTGTTGGTGTGATAATTTATTTTTTATCACTGATAAAACAAACAACAACTATAAAACTTGCACCAGACATATGGAAATAATTACGAAACAATTACGAAACAATTTCGAAACATTTGAACCAATTACGAAACAATTACGAAACAATACGAAATAAATTGGAAAAATTGTTTCGATTTTTAATTACTCCTCACAGTAGTCCTGCATGGCTCAATATTGGATCGTAAGCTAATTTAAATACGAATTAATAACGAATTACGAAATTAACAAACGAAACCGCCCAAGCCTACTATCCAAGGTGCTGAATCCTATCTGCAACATTGGTTCAGCACCTGCAATTGTTCCTTTCAAACTAAAACCCAGAGTGCTGCACTCCAGGATAGGGAAAGCCCTCTGACTTTAAGCACCACACAATTGATGGTAAACAATCCTTTTATTGAAGATAATTAAAAAGCAGTAAGGTTAAAAAACACTTTAAAGGAATAGGTAAATCCAATTAGGAAGATAAGCAGGAACAAAGTAGTCCAAGGTAATAGTCCAGCAAAGTCCATAAAAACAATGTCAAATTTCCAATTAAAATGCAAGAAATCAGGAAACATGAATCCAAGGCATAAATATAAAAGCATAGAACAAAACCATTAAACAAAGGTACTTAAAACTTGAATTTTCCAAGCATCCATGAACAAGGATGAGATCTTAACTTGATTCCAAACAATGCTTCATCTGACTCCATATCCTGTACTTGGGACTTTTATCTCCTCGTTAGCTAAGTCTCTAACACTCAGAAATTGGTTTAGCTATAGCTGATAATTTCTTATTTTTTCCTCTCGGAGCCTGGCAGAACGCCGAAGCCACTGTTCGGCTCTCCTGTTTTGACTGATCTCCTCTCGTCTATCTATTTGCTCATTAATTTCTGCAGCTGGGCCAGGTGCCGAGCTGTTTTCGAGTTCCTTATCATGGGAACTCTTTGGTAACAATTCAGAAAGCACACTGTCATCCCCACACCTCTCAGGGACATTCTCATGGGAAACTACATTTTGAACAGGGATCTCCTGGTCATTCTCTGCATCAGTATCACTGGCCATCTTGAAACTCATCTTGCAACTCATTGACATCATTCCCCATATCCAAAGCACCCTGATCCTGAAACACAATCACAGGCTGAGCTCCAACACAGAGTAGATTTACTGCTTTGCTAATAGGAATCCACCAGACACCACTGGCTTCACTTAGGATAACTACTCCGTATCCCATGGAATATTAGCTAACTGAATTAACTGAAATAATAAAAATAGCCCTTTGAATGGGCCATTTATAAGATCCCCAGGGTCTTTAATTTACCCCTAAGTAGCGATGTGAGTGTTGGACCAGGATTCCACAAGGCAAGGGTTCAAATCTCTGCTCTGTCTGTCACAATCTCTCAGCCTTGGTGTCTACATATTCGTCTGTGTGTCTTCAAGTCGCCCGTTGACTTATGGAAGCCTCCTGACTTTCATAAGGGGATAATAGTTTTGATAGTTCTTCCTTATGTTCAGATTCCACTTGAACATGAGGAAGAACTTCCTGACTGTGAGAGAGATCTGTTCAGCAGTGGAACTCTCTGCCCTGGAGTGTGGTGGAGGCTCCTTCTTTGGAGGCTTTTAAACAGAGGCTGGATGGCCATCTGTCGGGGGTGCTTTGAATGCAATTTTCCTGCTTCTTGGCAGAATGGGGTTGGACTGGATGGCCCACGAGGTCTCTTCCAACTCTATGATTCTATATGTATAATATTTATAGATTATATTATTTGTTTACATGTAAACTATATGCAGCCCTGATGGTTTCTGTTACCAGAAATGGGATGCTTGTACATTTGATGCATTGGTTGTCACTTTGGCTGGATGGCCATCTGTTGGGAGTGCTTTGAATACAATTTTCCTGCTTCTTGGAAGAATGGGGTTGGACTGGATGGCCCATAAGGTCTCTTCCAACTCTATGATTCTATATGTATAATATGTATATATTATATTATTTGTTTACATGCAAACTATGTGCAGACCTGATATTTTCTGTTACCAGAAATGGGATGCTTGTAAATTTGATGCATTGGTTGTCACTTTGGCTGGATGGCTATCTGTCAGGAGTGCTTTGAATGCAATTTTCCTGCTTCTTGGAAGAATGGGGTTGGACTGGATGGCCCATGAGGTCTTTTCCAACTCTATGATTCTATGATTCTATCTATCTATAATAATAATAGCTATATATATATATGTCTGTAATAATATCCATACAAATCCCCATCAGGAATCTACAATTTCTCTCAAGTTCCAGCATTAATTTAAAACAAGAAGAGAGATATTGACAAGCTGGAATGTGTCCAGAGGAGGGCGACTAAAATGATCAAGGGTCTGGAGAACAAGCCCTATGAGGAGCGGCTTAAGGAGCTGGGCATGTTTAGCCTGAAGAAGAGAAGGATGAGAGGAGACATGATAGCCATGTATAAATATGTGAGAGAAGTCAGGAGGAGGGAGCAAGCTTGTTTTCTGCTTCCTTGGAGACTAGGACGCGGAACAATGGCTTCAAACCAAGAGAGGAGATTCCATCTGAACATGAGGAAGAACTTCCTGACTGTGAGAGCCGTTCAGCAGTGGAACTCTCTGCCCCGGAGTGTGGTGGAGGCTCCTTCTTTGAAGCTTTTAAACAGAGGCTGGATGGCCATCTGTCAGGGGTGATTTGAATGCAATATTCCTGCTTCTTGGCAGGGGGTTGGACTGGATGGCCCATGAGGTCTCTTCCAACTCTTTGATTCTATGATTCTATGTTTACATGCAAACTATGTGCAGCCCTGATGGTTTCTCTTACCAGAAATGGGATGCTTGTACATTTGATGCATTGGTTGTCACTTTGATGCCACCATGTTGCAATAATGGGGAATGTTATGCTGCACAAACCTCATTGTGGACATGGGAGGTGAAATCATGGGGTGTGTTTTCCTGCATTGTCTTTATTTCTGTGGAAACTTCTATTTGCTACCTTGAGTGAGAATCCTTTCGTCAGCTATGTACAGTAGGTTCTCCACTTTTGTGGAGGTTTATGGGTGCAGAACCCCTGAAAATGTGAAAAAACAGACTCTCTCTCTCTCTCTCTCTCTCTCTCTCTATATATATATATATATATATATATATATACTAGCCGTCCCCTGCCACACATTGCTGTGGCCCAGTCTGGTGATCTGGAAAATGAAGCAATTACAAAGTGCTGATTTCTAATATATGTAATGTCTTTATCAAGAATTCAATGTCTGCACGTTGCTTAAGTCGCATTGACCGACCATCTGTGCAGGGTTCCATACTTCGCACTTTAACAACACAACCGTTCAATGCTAAGGCTTCCTAGGTTCTTGTGGGGTTTTTTCAGGCTATATGGCCATGTTCTAGAGGCATTCTCTCCTGACGTTTCGCCTGCATCTATGGCAAGCATCCTCAGAGGTAGTGAGGTCTGTTGGAATTAGGAAAATGGGTTTATATATCTGTGGAATGACTGGGGTGGGGCAAAGAGCTCTTCTCTGCTGGAGCTAGGTGTGAATGTTTCAACTGACCACCTTCATTAGCATTTGAAGGCCTGGCTGAGCCTGGGGGAAATCTTTTGT